TTTTTTCACCTGAGGTCCTAATCCTATGAGCCTCTTTTCTCTCAGCTTCTATTGAAGATTAGCTGATCCTGTACCCCTGGGAAAAGATTATTTGCCCTTATACCTGAAGATCCTTTTTAAAAAAGACTTTTGGCTTGGTTTTGCTTCGAAGTATGGATGCTAATGACTGCTTGCTCCTGCATATGCTATTATGGCTGGAATGATTTTGTATAGACTTATGGTTTCCAAAGAATAACAATTAATTGGAAGGATGCCTCATTTTTGAAAAGGTTTGAAAATGCCTCAGTGAAGACCTGTTCTGGTCCATTTCTCAGAAGCACATACTTTGTTGTGAGATACAGTTGCTCCTTGCTACACACTCGCCTCTCACCCACTACCCTTTCAATTAAGCTTGGCAAAGCCCTGGTTCCACTGAAGTCAGTGGCAAAACAGTTGCTGACTTTTCTGGGGCCACGACTTCCACTCTAGTTATCTTTTCTGGTACTCCAGCAAAGCCAGAGAAGAAAGAACATGAAATTAAGCAGTAGTGAAAAAAGAACCAGAGAACAAGATGACTGTTTTGGAAAAAAAATAACAGCTTTTGTGGGCTCCTTCATCCAGCAAGACCCAGAAAAAAAAAATTATTATTTTCTAAAAGAAAAAAGCTCTGGAAGTCTTCTATAAAGGAAGACCACAAATAAAATAAAAGATTCTATAAATTGTTACCTCTGCTTTGTATGCTTTTGTTCAGAAATTTTAAATATTTATGCTGCATTAACTGCTCACAGCTAGAAGAATGTAATAAAAGACACAGGTAGAGGACTGAAAGGAAAGGAAGAGCAGGAGTAGTTCTGCAATACTTTGCTACAGTGAAAACAAAGTTATCCCTTTCTGATGGCACAATTAGAATATTGTACACCTAGTGTTAAAATATGCCTTTTCTTTCTGCTTTTACAAGAATGCAGTTCATTATGTCAGGTACGTAGAGAAACATCTAAAAGAATAGTGTGTGTTCTGACCTACAATACTAATTAATTAATCAGCCCCATGTAATCTTGCAGTTGCTCTGCAATATTCTACTCTCAACCTGTCTTAAAAGCACTTCAGCCTAGAATCAATTTGGTTTTGTGCTGGCAGCTCGCTGCCCCTGTTCTCACCCGGTCATCAGATCATATTTTTGCTTTTCACGTTTTTCTTTCCTTCCTCCAAATGTACCCAGTGAAAGTTCTGTTCAGGTTGTGCTTGCTCCAATGAGCAGACCCTCATTGCTGCTTTCAAGCGAGGTCACCATGTCCTGGGAGCTTTTTGTTCTGCTCAAAAGGCTTCCATAATGCCACTGAAGCATATTGTGCCTGTGCAGATGCTGCTGGGGAGTGCCTGCAGCACTTGTGACTGTGGGAGCAATGTCAGCGTTTGCATTTTGGAGATATATAATACATTTTCAAGCAATTCTGCTCATCTTCACTTCTGCTTCCCAGCAGTCTGTCCTTTACCATTTCAAGTAGGTCATTAACAGCATTACTTATTATCCTCTCCCCTCTTTTCCATCATTCAAAGCAGGCTGTCCAGGACACAACATTCCTGCCATGCATGGCCTTTAAACCCTGATCTAGGAATCTGCCTTTTAATTTGACCTGTGCAAGAAAATTGCCTACATAAGTAACACTGTCACATTTTTATAAGGGAGCAAAACATTTTGCAGTGTCACTGAAGTTTATGTGAGGCAACACAATATAGATGGTTCCCTCACATGGAGAACTGCTGAACAAAGGCTGATGAAGTGCAAATGTCAAGAAAAAGTCTTCAAACCAGACCTTTCATTTTGGAACACGGCAGTGACAGTTATTAACACCATCAATCAGGTCAGAGCTATTGCTTTGGCACAGACTCATGCCTAGTGGGACTGACATAAGTACAAAAAGAAGGCCATGGTTACAGGCGAAGAAAAAGCTCTTGGGATTCATTTTCTGTTGACTTGCAAATGTTTGGTCTCTGTATTTGCAGTGACTGTGCTCGAGATTGGTTTAAACAGCTCCCAAATAATACCTGCAGCCACTCACACAGATATAAATGACTTGTGGTTTGGAGCAGTGGAAATTCAGCCCACATATTTCTCATGGGAGGAAAGATACAGGATGAAATTGCAAGATGGCAGAAATATCTGCTAATTCTCTCCTCAGCTTTCACTGTAGCAATGGAAGCAGAACAGCAAAGCTTATCACTCAAGATGAGCTGTAGTGTTTTTACTTTCACACAAAAACTCCCACAACGTCAATATAACTTGCAAGAACACTGGATCTGATGAAGTCTGGTTTCCTAAGGACTTCTGTCGCATGGCTGACTGACTTCAGAGTTTAATAAGATCCAAGCGCAAAATGAAGTTTTCCTGTGAATGGGGCATTTATTACATCCTGAGTAGAATCTCTGGAGTTTAATAAAAGAAAGCTTATGCTGCAATATTTCCTTTTGAAAGGGGACTTTAGGTTTCTGTTCTCCAACTGGATTAATATTTTTTATGGAACATGTAGGAATTTAATTGCTGAAGGCAGGTGTTTCTCTACAAATTTGTTTGAAATTGGCCCAAGCTTTTAATTTACTGTGAGGAGAAGAATACTGACAGGCAGACAGACAGACATATACCCACACAATGTGTTCTCATCTACTACCACTAACAAAACTAAAAAATGTCAGTGCACCTTAGGGATGTGCAAACACAAAAAGAGTGTGTACATGTGAGATAAAAAGCAATGTAGAGAGGACTCTGGTCTAGAGGAGGATCCGGCCCAAAGCCATCAGGCAGTGAAACAGAATGATGATCCCATCTCTTTTTTTTCTCTCTCCAACTCCAGCCCCTTCCCTTGGCACTCTTGTTGTGGCTCATGACCATGTAGGTGTCTGCTGAGGTCCTGGCATCAATAGTGAGTGTTGAGCACATATACACAGATTTTCACATGCATAGCTCTGAAGAGCCATTTTCTTTAGATTTGCTCTATCTATTAACTAATTGAGGAACACTGAAGTGATCTGTGCAGAGAAGAAAAGTTATCCAAATTCTGAACAGGCTGAAACAGTACTGAGAATGCTGGTGTACCATATTAACACTTTAACTGAGTATCCCTTTCCTTCTAAATTCAGATTAAAATTCCCCCAGTAAAGTATAAGATCAAAGTAATTAGTCAGAGCATGTTCGTTTATTTGCCACAACATATAATCTTTTCAGCCCCATCTGTCCTTTCCTCCCCTGATTATGAGTGCAGAATATTATGCTTAAGAAGGGGAAGGTGGTAAATAATAAAAACGTAACAATTACCAAGAACAATACCATGAAAACTGATATTGGAACAAATTATTAAACCCCTTCATAATCAACTAATTTATTAAAGTGAATGTCCTAAAGTCAAAGCTTGTCATTTATTGTGGTGCTTGCAATGGACAGTTACTCCACATATTTATTCCAAGAGTACATTTTTATACTTCAGTTAATTAAGAAATACTGATTTTGGGCAAGTTGTTGATTTTACTGTCAGAACAAATTTAGCTTTGAGAAATGATTTTATTAACCTATTTCATAAGTCTCTCTAAATATACAATTTGTGAGCAACCCACATTCTCTTGATTTAAATGCCATTTGTAACTTCGCCAAAAACTAATTTAAGTGGAGATGGGCCAAATTCATTTTTCATTCATGTTTATGCCATTCTGGAATAAACTCAGCAGTCTTGCAAGGATATACCCTTGTTTCTATGTGAAAATATCTTTCCATTATTTTCACTGTTATAATTCCAGATTAACATGCTTGACTTCAAGGGGATGTGATTATTTCATAGGCTTTTCTGGTTATCAGGAACAATTCTGGAAGAAGATGACTGAGAAAATTTGATACTTTTCAGAATACGTATTCTTGGTATTTATTTCATGCCTACGATTTACTGTGTATGTGAAATATCTCAAAAGGTGTGGACTTTGTGAAATATTTCAGTAAAGGGGTTTACTTAAACCCCCTCAAAACAAATCCTCCAAACAAGAAATGCTTCCAAAGGCTTTAGGTTGCATAGTGTCCACACTGAGACTTCACTTACCAGTGAAAAATATACAGAGAATTATATAGTATTGCTACCCTTAGAAAATGAGACTGGCGACTTTTTAGGGACATGTTTATATGCTGTAATTTATTATGTTTTTTAGAATATTTACTGTCATGCATTCACAATTTAATTGAAGATTATCTCAGTTTATGGGTAAGACCATGTCTTAGTTTCACAGAACACTGACAAAAATGAAAAAATTTAAGAAATGTGCAGCCATATTTTCCCGTAGATGCTGCAGTATGGAAACACCTGAAGTGTTCATGGAAAAAAGAATTCCTGCTTCTATGAAAAGAAGACCATACCCCATAAGTATGAAGAATGATTTGCTCTGTGACATCTTTCTTACCTATGACTTTGCAGAAGCCCATCCTCCATGGCATTGAAACTATGTTGTAGGGTGAGGTATGTGAAACTTGTTTCTGGCAAGTAGCTAACCTATGAAGAACTAAGATTTTAGGGCTATTTAAATCTACTTTACAAATTTAGCACATTTGATTTCAGCCCAAAATGTTCACTTTTCAAATTTAGTTTTAATTTAATAAATAAATACTTTTATTTCTAAATTTGTCAGACCCCCTGCTGACACTTATTTGCAAACGGATAGTCGCATTTTTCAAAAGGAAATGAAAACTATTAAAACTCCCTATTTGAGATTTAGTGAGACATTTTCTTACTGAGAAAAATCAGCAAAAATTTGAACACAAATACACAGCACATATTACATTAGGCAAATAAAGCAATTATTTCTACAGCCTGAGAGCGCAGATCCAGAAGGAGAAGGCAGGGAGCAGACACTGCACCTGGCACCCTTCCATGACCTCAGAGATACCTAATCTGGTTATGGGTGCCCCAGGCAGTTGTTAGATGTATCCAAGAAGCAAGTGAATGTGCTGCAGGCAGCTGTGGGTTCCATGAAGCACCGCTCCTGCCAGCTGGTGGGCAGCAGTGGAGTGGGAATGCTGCTGGCTGTCAGCTGCTGCTCAGCACCTGCACGACTGGCTGGCCTCAAGGCAAGGGGCCAGAGCAAGAGACAAGGTACCCAGAAGCTCTATAATCTTAAAACAATTGCCAGGCTAATTTAAGTTTGGGTTTAGCACAACTAAGCCAGTTGACCCTGCTCCACTTTATATGGCATAATTACACATCAGCTGGATCTGAGAGAGTACAAAGGCCTGTCTGTCTTAGAACTGGGAACAGGCAGGCTGAGGTTCTCCTCCCTGCATTTGCAAACACAGAGGGTCCACTGAAACACTAAACACACAAGATCAAATCATTTCAACATGAGGAAGAAGTTCTTTAAGTTGAGCGTGGCAGAACACTGGAACAGCTGCCCAGGGAGGTCATGGAATCTCCACCTCTGGAGACATCCAAACCCTCTGGGTGCATTCCTGCGTCACCTGCCCCAGGTGACCCTGCCTTGGCAGGGGGATTGGATTGGGTGATCTCCAGAGGGCCCCTCCAGCTGTAACAATGCTGTGATTCAATAACATGTGAAACGGAACACAGACACTTTTCCTGTTCTAATTCTAGTAATAAAATCTCTGAGAGCTTCTACAACAGCAGCATTAGATCCCTTCATTTGACCTGTGATATTTGATAAGAACTAACCAAAACATTGACCCCATGTTCTTCAGGTATGTGAATGCAAGACCATAGTCATTTCCTATTACTTAAAATCTACTTAGAAACAAGCAACAAGCTCTTACCATTGTTATGCATTGTATTTTAACTATGATTCTCCAGTTGCAAAGGACATAGGAAAGGGTAGGGAGAAAATGATATGCAAAATTAACCTGATCCTGGTTATTAGCTGCCACAGTCCATTATAGTTTAGTATATCATTTGACTGCCTCACGATTTTTTCAAGTACAGCTTCTCCCCTGTTTTGAAGCTGATTAATTCAATTATTTCTTGGCAAAGGCCAAGTCCTTCCTTGTGCTGTCTGTAGGTGTGTGGCTCACTGACTATTCAAGAGTACCATTTGTGTTTCTCCATGATTATCCATATTTCTTTTTCAGCATAAACTAGAGATGTGGTAAGTTCTTTTATTCTTATTTTACTATTCCTATTTCATTGCTCTTGACATAAGAACTGGAAAGCATTTTGAGAAACTGAAACGCAATAGTTTCATCACAATATTGCTGTTGTGTAATCACTTACTCTAATGCTCCTCCATGACTCAGAACAGACTTAGATCTAAACAAAATATCTGTTTTTTTCCATTTTCTAGTTCAAGAAAATAAGTCTGAATTCTGGACTAAAGGAAAGCACTTTAAACTTCTAATTACCTTCTTAGAAGATCTATCTCAGAGTAGCAAGCAACTTTTTAAAGAAGTTTGTATTCTTTGTATAAGACCCTCTATACATTCACAGGCCATCTCCTGGGAAAAAAATCATGTGTGATTTTACATTTATACACCTTAAAATAATCATGTGAGTGAAGAACTACTCCATACTGTGCCATTCAGAATTATATGACTCATCCAGTATACTCGATATATATAATCTTGGTACAAGAAGGTAAGCAATCTGTCTCAACAATGTGTATCAAAGTGACAACACATAAAAACGAGGTGTCTACCTGAGTGATGTCCATCCCAGAGTCACAGCTCAATGGCTGGGTTGATGTGAGGCCATTTGAACCTATTATTGTTGTGATCACACCGTTCTCATCAATTTTCCGTATCATTGTACCATCAACAAAGTAAATAAATCCGTGCTTATCTACAGTGATACCTGGAAGAAGGGTAAGGGTAAAAAGAGTGTTAGTACTGGCATTATCTTGATTAAAAAGTATGAGTTTAAAATATTTCCTCTCTTAGACTATGAGAATCTGCTGATTTAAAAAAAGTATGACATTATTTCCCCCACCCATTACTATTTGAGGCTTATACAAACTGTATAAGGAAAGTTCATACCTATCTATCAGATTTGCTTAGACTTAAAGAGAAAAAGGGAAGATGTGAGGATGAAACAAAACAAAGCAGCAAAGGCTTTGCTTTTAATATAATTTTACATACTTAGAACAAGGCTCTTCAATAACTTCACATCTACCACAAAGTGAGCAATATTAGCTTTTCTAAAAACTTATCTTACAGTTGATTTTTCTTCATTTTCATTTCACTTTCTTCATTCTTATGCAGAGACAATTTTTTAATTGCTATACACTCTGAATGATGAGAGTGTCTGAGCAAGGAAGAAGTATCCACAGAAGGCCAAAGAGACCTATTCTGATAGGGGCTGTACATACAAATGGTGCAGATCAGGCTCTGCTCAGCAGGCAGAAGGAGCAGCTGTGCTGCAGTATGTATCACAGTGCAGTGCTGCCCAAAATGATGGTCCTGCACTGGAACCAGGCTCACGACAGCTGTGGTCACCAGCAGGAGATGGGGCAGTTCTCCTACTCCTGGATCTGCAACAGCTCCTGCAGCACTGCACTGCACTTGAGGGATGGAAATCAAATGCCAGGGCTGTGCACAGGAAAGGTCATGGTCCTCTGTATTTTAGTGGGGAAACTGAGGAATGGAAGGTTTACTGTCTCCCACAAGCAGCTTACACCACAACTCATGCCCAGCTTTGTTCTGCCCTAGTCTAACAGCTCCCCTGCAGTTCTTCCTGCATTCAATTTGAACTGTAAGATCTTATTTCCCTCAAATATTGAAAATATAACTAGAAGAGCACTTCTATTCATGTTAGACTTGTGAAATCCTTTCTACCAAAACCGCTCAATTTCTTGCTTTGAACTACTTCATAATTTCCCACTTAAAGTTGCATAACTTTGCAATTATAGCAGCTGCTGTGCACAGCCAAGCTATTTTAATAATGAATTTATGTTCTGCTACACAGAAATGAAAGGCAGAGGACTCGAACAGAAGGTCTGGACAGTGGCTTATATGGGTCTTCATTTTTGTCCCCTGCATTTAGCACAACTGAAGGCTGTATGTACTGTAAGTCTACAAAACACTTGTCTGCAGGCCAGTTTAGGATCCCACACAGCAATTCCACATGCCATTAAAATAGAAAAATAGCCTAAAACTAAATTTCCTCAGCTTCCAACCCCAGCTCCTTATATTTAAGGTTTTTTTGTTTAATATATAGTAGCAGTTACAGCTGGAGGAAAGAGATTAAGCAGTCTGGGGGGCAGAGGCAGGACGTGGAAACCCTGATGGAAGACATGCATCTCCCATGGGGCTGGGAAGAAAGGAGGATGGGCTCCCCAAACCCTAAACATATCTTTACTTGGCAGCTGGAAATGCCTGGGGATTAAGTTTGAGTTGCATACATAACGGAGTGTAATATACTTTCTCCTGCAGTGTTAACACCAGGGGCAGGCTCCCAAGGCAAACTGCCCATGACTGCTTCTGAGGTACCTCTTCACCACAGGTGATGTTCAGGCACCTTGCAAAGGTCTGAGGGTATGATTACAAAGTTCTAAGGGTATCATCACATAAAAAAATCCAAGAGCCACAGCAGTTAACTTTAGTGTGCAACACTCCCTACTGCATCCAGCTCTCCGGTTATCAGCACAGTGTTGGGAATTGAAACTAATTCTTTAAATTGCCAATGCAGTGTATCCATCTGGCTGTGAACTGCCCTTAGAGGAGGGTACTCACCATCCTGTCAACTCCTCTACTCAGGACAAAAAGTGCCCATGGACTGCTAAGTGCCCAAGGTACAGGGCTAGGTTACATCTCCTCATAATGTGAGGTGCCTGAAAGTTCTGCAGGACAGATGTCACTTGGGGAACTGAAATAATCTAGTGGGGGCTGGATGGGTCAGCTGGGAAAAATTGTGAGGTTATAAAAAGGCTAAAGGAGGAGCAGACAGTCTCAGAGCCTGACTCCCTGCCTGCAAGCTCATAAATCGTGACTCCTTGGTACCTTTAGAGGATCTTCAGTCTTTATTTAGAAAGTAACTGTGTTTTTGGAAACTCCAGAATGACTGTTAAGCTCCTGGCTGTCATCTGCTCCTAACAAGTCCAAACCCAAAAGGCTGAAGGTGAGCTGAGGTAAAGAGCAAGTCTGAGGAGCCAAGAGGTTTGTTTTGGTGTCAGGGGTGACTTGTGTGCTCCAGTTTTGGGAAGGGATGGTCCACTGTACCTCTATCTCACTGATACTGCATCATGTAGCAATATTAGATGGGATCTGATTTGCTTTCCAGTGTGGTTCACAAGTGGAAATGAGAAACCTGATGTGTGTGGGAAGGGCAGCACATGGGCTGTGCCTGAGCCTGCCTTTGCAGAGGGGAGGTGCTGCATGGTAAGCGAGGAGCTTTGTTTCTCAGCTGGATCAGATCCACACCACAGATAACACAAGGCCAGGATCTGTCACTAGGGCAAGTGCATCTTCTGTTTTGCGCAATTTCCCTGAGAACAGATGGCTGTGTTGGCTGCAAACCATCCATTATATAAAAATCAAAAATTATGCTGCAATGAAATAAAGCTACTCAGCTGTGCTGCTGAATGGATTTCAAACACTGACTATATAAGAAAACCAAGGATCTTTTAATGTTTCTAGCGTTCATGTTGCTCTCCAGCCACCACAGAAAAGTAACCTGTCTGCAAGGGAAGGACATATGCCAGTGCCAATAGCATAAATTAGCTCATGTCTTCAGTATTTGCATTAAATTCCTGGTACTTCCTAATAAGCCAGTTTCTTCAAGTACCAGCGAGTGTATAGATGTTCAGCAAAGGTCTACTGCTTCCAGAGCTCATGGCTCTGCAGTAAAACAACACGACTTTACCTACTTGAAAAAATTATTTATGCATTTAAGTCTTGTTGACAAATACTCTACATAAAGCATCCACTGGAAAACAATACAGATTTGTGGCTAAACTGTCCCAATTTATTCATTAGAGTTGGATTCATTAATGCTCCTGTCACATCTAACATGATGCTACATGTAATCTGTACTCCAAGAGCTTATTTTTAATCCTTTTCTGATGTACAGTGTAATGCAAAATCAAATCACACACAGTACAGCAACTGTGATTTAATCACCATGGAACTGGGGGAGGAAGCATGCACATGCTGAGG